CATTTAAATTTACATAATTCAGTGTCTGTCAATGTTTCTGAAACTAACTCATTGAATAAATTGAAAAAGAAACGGTTAGAGATTTAAGAAAAACGAGAAATCATGAAATCTACTTGTTGAACTATATTACATTTTTCAGTCATCCGCTGAAGCTGAACACACTTGTGACATTCTTTCTACAATGGGAATCAAATAGTTTTCAGAGAGTTTGTCACTGTTGCAGAAGTTCCCACAAATGTGTTGCACATGTAGTATACTGGTGCGTCTCTTCCATCATGCCACTGTTTGGTTCTTTTCTTCTAATGTTTTGGGTCATTGTCTTGCTGTAGGATGAACCCCTGAACAACCAGTCTGTCCTCCTTTGTTACTTGCCTTACTTCCTGCAGTACAGTATTGTCCTAATAATGCATTAGAGGGTGTAGTAACACAGTTTGTTCCAACACTGCCTTTGTACCAACAGAGGGTTTGTAAGTTATCAACAAGGTCTTTACACCTGTAAGAATAGTTTGCATGAACTTCCATTCTTCATTTACTTACATTGCCTCAGGGAAGCTGTGATTTAACCATTTCCCTAATCGCTGAAAAAGGTTTGTTGACGCAAACATTTTTTTTTACCTTGGGCAGTTTACCTTTGTGCCATTTCAGGTTCTTTGGATTTGAACTGCTTACATTTCAATAAGAACTGGAGAAATGTGGCTGTTCCAAACCTTTTGACCGGTACTGTATCTACTTTATCTAAGACAGCGAGGTGCTGATCATTGTTGGTGTCAATGCAAATTAAATTTTAAATGCATCAGACTATTGGGCCAACACCAATTTTTAACATGGTAAACTGCCTCATTTACATTACTAATAATATATTGTGAGTAGATGTGTTTGCCTTTTTGAAATGATTATTTACAGTAGGTCTCTGACCTTCTGGACGGCACTGTGAGATTCTTGGTGGGGTTAAAGGAGCCATTTGTAAGTAGCGCTATTGCTACATAGCCAGCGTTGGCATCAACAGCTGTTTACTTACCAGTCTAAGAGAAACTTTGTGAGTTCAGCATCAAACTTCATTTCTTTATTGGCCAAGAATTGTTTCCAGCAGTGGAAAGCAATGCCAATGTTAACTTTTGTCTCTATCACGTCTTTCATTCTACTGAAGTTAGCATGCTAACCAGCCGGCCCCAGCCCGTCTCGTCACTTTCCGATAGTGACTCACTGTAGCCTCCAATCTGCCCTGAAGATGTAGCGCTGCTCAGAGGGTGTATTATAACCTCCTCTGTTCTAACAATGGCCGAAAGTCTTGTCATGCAACAATCACCACCACCCGCTCCCGGCAAGAAACCACATTTAGCGGCAGAGAAAACGTACAAATGGCTCCTTTAACTTCTGTTTTGGTGTCATTAGTTGTTGCAGCTATTCTCAGTTTAATTAGTTTGGATGCAACTGAAAAAATTACTATTCAAGTAAAGTCAGTAAAATTTGTTTATTTTCCAGCCCAAAACACAGCCCCATATATACCCCCCCACACACACACACACACCACCACCACACCCACTACAACAGTAAGTGAAGGGAAGCCCCCCCTGTGGTGCGAGTGTACAGCCATGCCTGACTCCACACTCTTATTATCATGATTGCCTGCAAAAGGTGGCGGGACGCTGAGTCCATTCACTCTGCCAGACAGCTTCATAAAGCGGCTGCCGATGGTTCCCAGTGGGGCCCTCATCAGCGGCAGAGAGCAGTGAAGCGCCTCTGGACTTTGCTCTCTGAAGTGACAATAGTTCTCCTGCCGATAGAGGGAGAAAAGAGAGCAGGGAGGGAAGAAAAACAAGATGGCCGCCAAGCAATAGGCATCTTTTGAATGCCTCATAGGGAGGTCATCCAGGAAGTAATGAGGTGAAACGCCGCAGTAGAGCAGTAGCTGTCAATCAGTTTGGACATTGTTGGGTTATAATGAGTGCCTGAGTGGTAAGCACCCACATAACGAGGCAGCTTTGCTAAATGTAGACCACCTGTATCCTCCTCCTCCGTCTGCCTGTCTCCCGATAATCTCCTTCATCCTTCATTCTTTTTTCCCCTCCTCGCGGAGAACTAGGCAAGTAATACTACCCATGGACCATTTCCTGAGCATAAGCCAACGTCTGTCTTACACTCTTGCTTTGGCATTAAAACCTTCACTTTTCCCCATCCCTCCTCCTCTTCCTCTTCTATCTCCTCTCCATCTTCCAACACCCCCCCCCCCACCCGGTAGCCGTCACAGCCGCTGAACGATTTCCTCTCACTGGGAGGCCCCTCCGAGTCACTGTGGCAGTGTCAAACGAGGCTCCTATTTAAGCTCATTAAATGTTTCCAAGAGAATAGGAAATCAATGGTGCATACCGGTGCGCAAGAACTTTTCTCTTAATTTAATTTCCCCTCCCCCTTATCTGTTTGCACATCTCTCTCCTTCTTTTTCTCCTATCATTCTTGCTTGTTCTTTCTAGTGTGTCGTTCTCCTTTAAGTGGAGGAGGTGGTGGTGGTGTGTTGAAGGAGGGGGGAGGGGGGGCAGAAACGGTTGCCTTCAGAAACCATTTTGAACTTGTATATGTGACAGGCACCATGGTGCGAGGTTGTCCAGACTTCTCAGTGTTGTTTAGCACTCACTGCACAGAGCACAATTGACTTGAAAGTTTTGCGCACACTGACCTCAGCCCTGGAGTTTTACCCTTTGTTTCGGGGCATGCTGTTAAGGGAACAGGTTTCGACCAGAACAGAATGTTACAGTGAAACCGTGTGGGGGAGTATATCATGGTGATGTTTTGGATTGAGATGACCCCTGGTTTAAAAATACTCCCGTCTCGTGGTTATTTCCTTCCCATTTTGACTTTCGCTCATCATCTTCTCCTATTTTGTCCCCTTATGTCTTTTGTTTGTCCTATGTGTGCATTAGATTGAGTGAGCCTAGTGTTTGTGTGTGTGTGTGTGTGTGTGTGAGTGAGAGTACATGTCTGGCAGGGCTTTGTGCTGTTTGAAACTATGCCTGGGGGCTGGGCCCACACCTTCTCTGGAGCTCCTGTAATTGCTCTTTTGGGGCCATGCCTCTGGCTCTGAGCCCGTCTCCATCACTCTCACTCCGTCTTTCTCCCTTGCTCTTTGGCCTCCTCCCTTCTCTTTTTTTTTTTTCTGCCCTCACTCCAACCTCTCCCTCCCTCTAGTCTCTCCCTGCATGCCTCATTATGGCTGATCCCCACCTGCTCAATCTGGGAATTCTCTTTACACACACACACACACACACACACATACATACAGAGCCACTCAGCAGTTTTCAGAGCTGCCTGTCGCTCGAATGCCTTGTGTGCTATTGGCTATAAAACAGCTTCGCTAATACCGCTTGGCCGAGAAATGGAAACAATAGTGCCGTGACATTTTTTTTCTTCTGACTGGTGCAAACAGACAGTTTCTCATCTCTGTTCTGGCTGTCAGAGCACCATTTTTCATAAAGCCCCAGCCCGTCAACCCCAGCCCCTGCCTTTGTGTACACTATTCTCAGCCACAGGCTCCTTAACCACAGGCCTGGTCTTTTCCTTTTTCATTCCAGCCCTCCCTCCAGCCTGTCACCCAGCTGCCCCCAACATGCCTGTTCCCAGGCTAGGGGGCTTACTTTGAAGGCTAATGGATGTGGCCAGTTGCAGATGCTCAGCAGCAGCAGGGCACTATCATAGGAGTTATCTAAGGGCCTGAGTGGCCTGTGATGAATGGCTGGGAGCTGTGTGTCTTCACCGATCAATAAGCCACTAGCACCCAGATGAGCTAGATGCCTCTTCGCTCTCCTCTCCCCCCTCTCCACACATATATCTCCCTCTCATAATCTCTCAGTATGTTTGTGAACTTCTCCCTCCAATTCATGGCCTGAATTGGACCATTGATCTTTTATCCTTGACTTGTTTTAAATAAAGGGCCAGTATCTCCTCTCCACCCAAGCATGCAAGGTTTCTGACAGCAGTTATTGCTACACTGGCGGCAAAGTGCACAAACATTACTTTAGCCTGATCGAAGGCCCGTAATCGGAGAGGGAGAGCAGAGAAAATGAGAGAGAGCGGCGCATGAAGCTGCTACCCCCACTCGGGAGCACCGTTGAGGTTTCCATCGCAAAGGCTGATGCAAGCAGAGGTCCCGTGTGGATAATACACACTTGTAATGCAGACAAACACACATGCATACACCAAACACTCTTGCTGTCAGGGCTCACTGAGCGCAACCTGTCCCAGAGCACCTCAAACAGCCCCACCCAATCTGAGCTAAGATGAGATCTCTTCAGTTTACCCTCATCTTTGTCTCACTGTTGCGCACACATGTATGTGAGATCTCTCCAGACCACCAAAGCATGTAAATGTGTATTTCCTCTGCAGAACAACAGGTGTGTCATAGCTAATGTATGTGTTGGTTCTTGATCTGTTTTTTTCGTTCTGCACGCCTGCGCTCTGCCGGCGAGGGATTTGTGATGAAACGAGCCGACTGGAAATCTCTCTCCCTCTCTTTCTTTCTCTCCTCCAGGGACTTTCAGTAGTCTGCATCCTCCTCTCCTCTCCTCTCCTCTCCTCCTCTCCTCTCCTCTCCTCTCCTCCCCCTCTTGCTCTGATCTTCCCTCTGATCTGCCGTTGTCTCTGTCACAAAGAGCAGATTCTCAGCCTGGTAATTGCATGTCTGCTGGCCACCACACCTGTTGCTGTCAGTGCAGCGGTGTGGGAGAGAGGAGGGAGCTCTGCCCTCTGGCCTCTACAGCTCTAACCCCCTCACCACCACCTTTTGCTGCGGGTGTAAGCCCACAGGGAGGTGGGAGTGCGATTCGGCGAGTGTGTACGTGTGGTACGGTGTGCTCTCACAGTTGATTTTGTTTATCTGTAACCTTGAGCGTCACCTCTAGCGCGTGTGTCCGTGCAAATGCATGTGTGTGTCTTCTCAAACCTGGCCAATGCTGATGGTTTACTCTCTCCCCCCCTAATCCTCTCTTCTTCTCTCTCCCCTTATCCAGAGCCTGGGCCCTTAATGAAGCTGGGGGTCAGCGGCAGTGTGCGGCTAATTGGCCAAGTTTGCCCGGGGCTCTGGCTGCCTGTGATTGAAGTGTCCAGTGAGGACCTACTGTGCAGCCGCCGCTGCACCCTGCTCTGTTCCACTCCAACAGCCAAGGCGCTCGCTGCACCCTTGTCTGCCTCCCCCTAGTGAGTACCACCCGAGGTCATTCTATTTTCACTTACACTCCCAATACTTTGTCCAGTTTTCTTTCTTCTTGTATTATTTTCACGCAACAAAGAGTCTGCAGGCTCAGACTTTTATCTGAATCACCTGTCCTGCATGTCGCACTGTTTTTTTTTCCTATAAACATTTATCTTTTTGTGCCTCATTTTTCCAAGCTCCTATGTGTCTCCTCTTTCTCTGTCTGCATTTTTTTTTTTATTGCTAGACTTTCATTCCCACACTCAGTCCCAGCATTTTCTCACTTTCCTTGGCTTGTGCCACCCTCACACTCTTTCACTTGCCACAGTGGGATTCGAGCAATTACCACGGTCCCCCATTGGCTAGCAGCCAGAGGAAAAAAAAAAACACACACAACTTCCAGCTTATTTCTCTGACGATGGGTCCAGCAGTCCCAGCCCTGGCCAAGCTGTATGGCACTGTTCTGACTTAACAGGAGGGGTTGGAGGCGATGGTGGAGGGTGTTGGGGTGTCTCTAATTAGTCGAGTCTCTGGTTTCTACTCGTTAAGGAAGTCCTGGCTCCTATTGTTTGGCTGTCAGTGCAAGAGTAGAGGTAGCGGGGTGATAGTGAGCTCTAGGGAAAGGACTGAGCAGATAGGGTGTAGAGAGGAGCGAGAGGAGAGTGAGGCTGCAGCTCTGCTACCCAGCAGATAGTTGACCGTCTCACCTGGGAGATACTCTGGCAAGGCTCAGCCTCCAAGTGCCATAGTACACCAACGGAGACACTTTTTGTTATTGTGCTCATAGAAGTGGAACATTTCTGGCTAGTAAATGGTCAACACTGTGTTTATGTGTCAGGAAACAATGGTCCAATTATAAGTCAAGTCTTAGCCTACAAGCCGGGATAAGTTATATTCTGTCAAAACTTTATTTGCACACCAGTAACTTTCTACTCTTGTTTATTAAGGGCTGCAAGCCATTAAATTTGCTCTGATGCTCATTAAACGAAGATCCTTAGCAATTAATTGCTGCTATTATAGTTTTATATAGACAGCTGTAAAATCTTCTTCTGGTCATACTTCACGCAGGAGTGGAAAAACTCTAGTCACCATGACTCACTGGGCTGATGAGATGAAAGAAAAGGTGAGGAATATTAGCATGCACATGATGTGCTGTATGTGAGCTTACCCACTGTTCACCACTTCCTCCTAAACTGTTTCTGTGGTGTACTTTAAAACCCAAAGCTGCCACAAAGCCTCAGGACTTGCTGGTTTCTTAGTGTGCTACACTCGTCCATCTGTGCAGGGCTTAGCTTGACAGACAACTCCTTTTCTCACTCATCTTCTCCATAATCAGCTGTTTGCTTAGGTCATAACTCTTGTGCTCCACTTTCCATCGCGTTTCCTCCAGGCCTGCATGCCTGCCAGCCCGGCAGCCTGCCCGCTGGTGTTAAAGATAAACAAAATATGGCTCATTTGAAATGTAGGCTACCCCAGGTGGTTGTTCTGGTTGTGCTGAATTAATAGTACTTGGGTAAAGAGATGGCTTTGCCCAGAGTACTTAAGCTACACTTGTGACCCAAAAACATGGCACATTAAAAATTCAGTTCACTCGATACTTTTGGAGTTTTGTTCAGTTTTTATCCCTTTGTTGTTCCCATGTTTCGCCTCACATCCCAGAAGATGGTGTAAATGTCATGGTAATGACATGGTTTTTGGTATCCATGTGGATTAGGAGGTGTCAGTCATTTCTCCCATGAGGCTTCGCCTTGGCACAACCCAGGAGCAAAGAGGTACTTTGGGATGAATGAATTAGGATGCGCAAGAGCAAACAAGTTTGTTTTTTTTTCATTTTGTTTTCTCTTGTTTTTCGTCAATGGGATGATGGGGCCTATATTTTTCTTTTCCCGTGTGCGACGCTGACCTTTTTATCTGCTGCATTACTTTTAGATAAGTTTGAACGTTAATCAGTGCAGTCACCTATATAGTTCTGCACCCTTATTCATGTGTGAGATACGCCTTCAGTTTACCTTTTTGAATGTGTTCCTTTGAAGGATATAGCAATTATAGGTAAACAGGACCATTTAATGGATAGTAATACATTTGGCACATAGTATTTCAAAGAGGAGGCTCATAGAAAATATTGTTTTTGAAAAAGGCTCCACGTTTGTTTAGAATATTGCTGATGGCGATACCCTAACTGGCACTTTTGAAGTTGGTTCAGGTTAATCAAGTGAGGAGAAAGCTGTCCGACATCAAAAGTCCTTTCTATGATATTCAGAATGACTCAGAATTTAACTATGCATCCCCAGAGATGAGAGTGAATAATTCATTTGTCACACTAAATCAAAGTGATCATCCTAACTCTAATGCCTGGGATCTATGGAAACTCTGAAATTGTCACAATGGTTTGTCAAATGACAACGTGATGTAGGCCAAAAGCCTGGTGCTACTATAAGGTCATGGTGGAAAAAATGCCCTTTCAAAAGCTTCATGATCCTACTGTGTTTGTTTGTATTTTTTTTTTCCTCCTGGGCCACGGAGACATTTTTGTCAGTTTTCTCTGCAGTGAAAAATGTATAATTTAATTCCGGGCTTTAAAAAATGCATCATCACCAAAGCAAGGTATTGCAGTGCCGGCATAATCTAACACCTTCAGAATGTGTAAAAGTGGTTAAAAATGCTGCTAGCCCCCTCCAGACATGCCTGCCAGATGATAAACTATCACCGCAGGCCAACACAGACATGAGGCCCTCAACAGTAGCCTACGTTTGGTTTTCTCATCGAACACTGCAAATGCCATGTCCTTGTGGTACCGAAATAATATAAAACACCTTGTTCCTGACTCATCAACCCTTTCCCACCTCCTCCGAGCTCCCCCAACTCCAACACGGCTCTGCAGCTCTCCATTTTTCCATCGCCCCCTGTGAATATCCAAGCTGTCGAGGCTGACTGGGCTGAACATTTTCTTGCCAGGGCACAGTTGGAACAGATCCGGCCTCCGGGCCACATATACTGCTCCACTCCAGCCCCTGCAAACAAGGCCTGCCCTGCGCAACTGTCATCTAAATGCTAAGCGCCTTGGATCTCCACAGTAGATTCCTTTTGTACATACTTAATCGTGTTTTTGAGACTGTCTGTCCTATTGGAATGTAATAGCTTTACATGGTTTATAGCGTGCTGAGCTTGATGAGCTGCTGTTTGAATTTGCACTGAATCATCATTAGAGAAAGAGCCTTTGTTAATCCACAAGGTGTACAGTTCCAGAAATCTGTATAGATGATGCAAATGCTTTTTGTTTGGTTCCAGTATTTGAGGATTATGTTCTTTACTGTACTCAGAGGCATACTCTTTTTGAAGCAACAAAGTTTTTTTAATGGTTTACAAAACCGTCGACCGAGTAAATCGCCTATCTGCGCCCTCTGTGACTGAGAAATGTGGCCGTCAGCCTTTATGAGAACATAAGCTAAACAGCCAGGCCAACTGTAAGGGGAGGTACACTGAGAGACAGACTCCAGACGAGCCTCTCAAATAGTTTCATGTCAAATCCACAGACATACAAATCTCCACAATGATCTGCCAAGTTTCTGCAGAATTCAGTGGAGCAGGAATAGCAGAATTTCACGCCCCCACCCCCGCCCCTCCTCTCAGCCATCGCTGGACGGCGCTTGGCAGCAGAAGGTGATGGCAAACAGCTGCGAAAGTCAGTGTGTGTGTGTACATGGTTGAATAAACTCACCAGATAAAGAACTGTGTTTTTATGCTTTTTTGTCTTTTTTTCTTTTTTCTTTTTTCTGTGGAGGCATCTCTTACACGGCAGACGAGTCAGTTATACTAACATAAATCTCACAGTGGAATGAATGAAATATGAATGTAGATGCAACATACAAACCGTTTCAGTAGTTAAGAGGCTCCAGAACTGTTTCCGAACTGATTCTGCAGTTTTGTTGGCAGATAAACAAGCAGGAGCAAGAGGGAAAAGAGAAGATGATAATGGACTTCCCTTGCAGCTTAATTCCTTCCTGTATCTGGCAAAAAGGAAGTAAAGCCAGGCCCCTATTGGCTTTCTTTTTACTCCCTTTTTTTTTTCTTTCACCAACAATGTTGTTTGCATGCTGACAAGCATAGGAGAAGATTTTGGGGGGCATGCGGGGGATATGTCTTCCTCAATATTTAGAACACCCCCCCTCAGTCAAAAGCTGCAACATTACTCATAGATGCAACAATGGCTCAGACAGGGGCAGGTCTTTTTTCTCAAGCACTTTTTGTACTCCCAAAGTTTGAATATGAATGATGAGCTCATGCAACCACTGAGTCTTTTGAATCTGAGGACATTTTTCTCAAAAAGTCTAAAGTAAGTTGTGAGCCACTAGGTGTTTATTGTTAGAAGTGTTGTTTGTTAGTTTGCTAACTAATCATAAGGTACTGTTGCCTACACATAAAAGCTATCTAGCTAAGATAGCAGCTGACAAGCTACTGTCCAGAGATAAAGACCAGTGGCATGTGATTTGTGGGACATTTGAATTTGAGAGTGGGACTGCATTATATTCTATTATATTTTGAATTGTCACCAAGTGCCTGAATTTCATGTTTGCTTTTACATAAATAAAAACATTTCCACATTAAACTGAAAACACAAATTGCTGCATTCACCAGAATGCAGGAAATTAAGTGTTTGACGCTCAAAATTTCTTGGGGGGAGGACGCCCAGCAATCACCCCCCCTTAATGTATCCCCGCCAAAGTTGAAACGAAACCCATGGCGATGCTGACTAGTATATTGTCAGGAAAGAAAACCACGAGAGAATGATTCAGCAGGTCCTCTGGATGCTTCTCTGCAGCTGCCAGAGATGTGACTGCTCAGAGTCACTGAAGTCTCTTTTATTTGGGTGTGCTGAGCAATATAAATAATGAAATGGAGCCAGTAATTGGTGGTTCTTGGTAATTAGGACCAAGCTGTCAGCTAGGGAAGTTGCCTCACTCTGATGCTGCTGCAGCAAGGGCAGTAATTACTATTATCCATGGGG